TTGGATGTGGTGCTCAGGGACATGATTTAGCAGAGGGCTTTTAGTTAGGGTAGTATGGTTAGGTTGTGGTTGGACTCGATGATCTTTAAGGTCTTTTCCAACCTGAGCAGTTCTATGATTCTATGATCTCTCATACAATCTGTAGGGATCAAGCTAGACTTAAACAGATTCAGGGACAGTAAATTGGCTTTGGTGCTGCTTCACTAATACAGGCATATTTGAAAAAGATCACTTATTTAATGTTGGCACTCAGTTGACTTAGAGAGTTCTCTCAGTTTCTTGTATGCATCAGAATTGTGATACAGTTCAACATACATTTTATCTATCATCCACTAACAAGCAAGAAGTTCCTGTTCCTCTAACAGTTCTTCTAATGAGTTAACTGGCCCTAGCTTATCCGAAACAACAGTGATAAAGGATGAAAGGTTTCTCAAGAATGACAAGATTAACAATTCGTATGAAAGAACCTCCTGTTTACTCTTAGATGCCGTTTGCTCTTTGTCTTACATTTCAGTTTTCCAAGACATCACAGTGGTAAGGTCAATCAAGCTCTTTGGTTATTCGTTCAGTTACATCTTCCCCCACAGTTTAATAATATACTGAGAAAACATGAGAATAAATCAAGAATGGAGTCCCTCATTTTTTTCCACTTGGAGTACTTCCTTCACTGTAAAACCAGACTGATCTTGTTTTCCTTTGTGGCTGTTCACATTCAGTGTCTTCTAAGAAAAGGAGTTTGGATTGAACATCAGCAATCACAGATACGACTGTAGCTGCAAATTCTTCTCCAACGTGTTATGGAAAGTGTCATTTTTTAAGTGCTTTGAAGAAACTTATATTATTGAAAATATCAAGAATATAACCTTTCCAACAGCAGTAATTTCAGAGCTTAACATCAGACGTGAAATCAAAAGAGGTCAGGAAGTCACAGCTCAGTTCTCACAGGTATAAGTAAATTCATTTCAACAACTTCGATATAGCATTGTAAGTCTAGAGACTCATCTGCTCTTAAAAGCTTTTCAACCTGGGCATTTTCATGTCTCATATACACAGTCAGGACTCACTGGCAAATGAAGCAACTCTTGCCTTCCTCATGAAGTGGAACAAAGTGGGCCACACATCTCATATGCAAGTCACAAGAATTGTTGAAAGTCACTGTTTTTCCTTTTCTTCTAGCTTGACTGACCCCCGGCTAAAGAAGTTATGAATTCAAGTATTTCATCTCTGCCTGAGGGCTTGTACTTGATAACTCTTGACTGATCCATGAAACCACTGTAATTCTATTTCTTTCTGGTTTCATCACAGATTGTACTTGTGACTAACCTGATTATGTGATCACTTTTGTTAAAATGATTCCAGATGTAAAGGAAAAAAGATTTATATTTTATGATAAAAAAGAAGTGTTAAAAAGATAGTAAATAATAGATTGCAATAGAGAGGTACATTAAGTCAAAGGAATAACTGAAATAGCAAACAAAGTCTTCAGTTTACCCTTTTAAAATCGAAATTAAGGTGAATTGATGGGAATAGATTTAAAACAAATCATCTGTTTTTCATGATGGAAATCTATTAAGTTGATAGAACTCATTGCCATAATATGTTACTAATTTCAAAGACTTAGTAAGCTTTAAAACAACTAAACATTTACATTGATAATGGAAACACCCACTGTTGTATTAGTTAGAAAATAAAGATCTTGTTTAGAACAGGACTAAATCTTCATATTTTTATATAGAGATTTATCATTAGCTGACAAATATTTAAAAAAAAATAATCTACGTGGAGCAGTTATTTTGAAAGAATTATTCATTTAATCAGGTTTTTGCGTTTTCTTTTGAATCTGTCATTCAATCAATCAACCTATCTATCTATCTAAACATAACAGAAGAACTTCCAAGTATATCTTCAATGAATCCAACCTCTAAGAAAACTGAATTATTTGTGAAAAGGAAGCTGAAGAAACTTGAAGATTGAGAGTATTTGAAATAGCACCTAAATAATAAATATAATAACAATTATTAGTAGTAATAGTAATAATGCTTATACAAGCTATCAACTCCTGAATACCTTTTCTCAGAAGGCAGACAGTTGAGTTTGTTGAGTTCCTTCCTGAGAACTAAGGCTGGCATGTGTCCCCTGGCAAGCCAGGAAGTTGTTGAGGAGTGGGTGGAGGGATCAATTATGACTCCTTGCAGAACCCACTTTGTCAGAGAACTGTAGGCTGTTAACTGTCAACCTAGCGGGTATTTCACTGATTTGAATTACATTTTCCAATGAAGTTAGAACACTTGGTCTGGTTCAGATTTTTGTTTGTTTATTTGTTTGTTTGTTTTCTCCCCATTGTGGATTACACAATCTTGCTAAAATTGATATTCCATGCACAGAATAATTAAATATGCCTTCAACTGGAGACAAAGAAAAAGACTGAGAGCTTGGTGCCTCTTGCGTATGCGCTTAAGCATATGCTGTCTATGCAAATGGGACATCTCAATTAGAGGAATACAAAACAAACAAACAAAAAGCAGTTCTAAAACTTTTACCAATACCATTCATGCCTAATTCACTGTCTTTCTCTGCCAATAAGTATTATATTTTTTCTTCAGACATAATTAGTAAGCATTTCCACTGATAAAAAGGCAAATATTTATGTCTAAAAGACTTTGGCGATTATCATGTGTCCAAGTGACACATTACTAACCCGGACATGCATATTCTAAGACATGCTTTATGTCAGTGCAAATTAAGAATCTTAAGCAGATCAAATTAAACACTAAAAGTCCCTATTAATCTGCATCATTTATGTACAACTTAGCTACTGCTACTTTAAAGGCATAGAAAAGACATCTGGTGTGCAGCTATCTACAGAGAGATTGGGTGAACCTACCCTTTCTTTTTCTAATCTGTTTAATGTATATTTTTTGAGGTATCTTCAGCATGCATTCTGATTCCATCATGTTTTTGCTGAGAAAGCTGCAATGTGTAACATTACTTTAGTGCAATTACGTCTTTATTTTGTAAATAGGTCATGAGGAAATAGGCAGAACTTAAACCAGTTTCTACAGTTTATAGAGATAATATTCTGTCAGCCTGTGCTCTCACTGATCAGCTGTAATCAGTGTCCATAACAGTTTTTTTTTCTTCTGTTCTTAACTTTCTATACTTGCCCAGAAGGTCACAATAGGAGATTAGGACTAGTATTTACAGTACTGAAAAAATAATTGCCTTTACAACCTCAAAGTTAAGTAAGAAATAATTTCATATTGTTGCTAAAGATAATGGACTAAAAGCAACTTCTTCCACCTATACTGGAAATATTCTCTGATTGTGTATAAATTTTTTGCACCATTTTCTTATGGTGTTTCTCCTCGCACTCCTTTCCAACGTCATAAAAGCTACGTGATTCATGACAGAGGATATTAATTAAAATCTCCATAGAGATATAAACCTGAAAAAGAGAACAAGCTTGCTTTCCTGGCATCTCTTGAACCTTCTCAAGACTGACATTCACATTTAGCCTTCAAACAAATTAAATGCCATTGCATTGTTCTTATAACATTTTTTTTGTTGTTTTATTCATTATATTTTTAAAATATCAAAGTAGATCCTATATTTCTCACAGTAACATATTTTTAGAGAAATTATACTGAGTTTCAAAATCATGAGAAATATATTATTCTTCAAGCAGTAGTGCAGTTTCCTTTAAAATTGAACAAACTCAGTTCATCAACATTTTCATGAAATTAGGAGTAGAGAACTAAGAAACTGTGTTCTGATGGAAAATGAACAGCTAAGTAGCAGAAAAGTGTTATGAAGAGAATTAGGAGATTCAGAAATTAAAAAAAAAACAAAAAAAAAAACAACAAACAGGAAAGTTCTAGATACCAATAACCACTTTCAAATTTAGATACTCATGATTTCTATCATGATTTCTTGCTGCAATCATAACCTTTAGACCATTGGTTAAGAATTACTTTAGAAATGTTCAGATGCAAGCAACACTTATCTTACCTTTTACAAATCAGATCTTAATGTCTCATTTGTTCATGAATCTAACCTGAGTAGCTGGGTTTGTTTGTTTGTTTTGTTTGTTTGCTTGTTTGTTTGTTTGTTTTTTGATGTTTCCAAACACTTTTCCTTCTTGTAATTCAGTTTGGATTCAGTAATGACTTTAGGGAACCCAAAGATACATTTATTCTAGGAAACAGTTGTAAAATATTCACTCAGACACAGTGTTGGTCCTTGGGGTTCAAATGGAACAGAAGATGATGCAAGAAATACAGACAACAATAGTAACATAACTTCTGTTGATAAATTAGAGAAACATCCAAATAAACACATTTATTATAAATAGCTAATGATCTGACTGGTTTGAAATAACTAGTCCTCATTTTATCCTCATTAAAGGCCATAGAAAATTTACAATAAACTCTTTTGAAATAGACATTTTTGAAATTTCAATTTAAAAATAAAACTCTCAAGGTATATGCCATTATTTTAGCTGACATTGCTAAGCATGGCACTGATCAAATCAGAGCCCCTTGAATAACCAGCTGCATATTCAAAACTTACGTTTTTCTCCAGCATTGAACTGTATTGCTTGGGCTCTTATATGGCTACTAATTGAGAGCACTGGGCAGTCAGAAGTTCTTATTAATTTATTTACCTTCAATGATGGCACCTGTTTAGAAATATTTATTCAAAACTTTTTAAATTTTATTTTAATCTTTTAAGGAGAGACTTCCAGTTTTCATATTTCTAAGAAATATGATTCACATTCTGTCTTCTGCAGTAATTTTAAACATCATTAAGAAAACATTCTGGACATGGCTCAGGCTCCTTCAGAAAATATAAATTTCAAGTTTTGATTTGTTCACAGTTCATATCTGCAATATTTATTTTGCAATAACAAAATACAAAAAAATAATGATCACTCTTTAAGGATAGCAGAAGTGAAAACTACAGAATTTAATAAAAAGGAATAGAAATTGATTCTGAAAGTGTGTGATGAAGAGTTATAAGTAGAGAACTACAATAAAAGAACACCATAAAAGAGCTTTAATAGGTTTATACCCTTCTGCCAGTTTCAGAAAAGACTGCTGCTGATCAAAAACATTTATTTTAAAGAGAGGATGATGACCACAGACTCTTTTTTTTTTTTAGAATGTGGCTGAATGATGGTAAAATATTATGTGAAACAGGTAATATGTGAAAACAGGTAATTATGTGAAAGAGGTAATATGCCAGGTAATAAGCAGCTTTGTTCATCCCTCCTAAGACTTTGATTTTCCATTATTTATTGTTTTGTTTATTTTCTTATTTAATACCTGAATGAATAATAAGTTTTCACCTGCTTGGAACTGAGAACTTTCTTGACATAAGGCAGCAGAATCTTCATATAAAATTCACCTTAGAGAAGAAGAAATTCCCAGTTCATGAGATACAAAAGACTCTCAATGTAGAAATATGCTACAGAGTATATTCCAATTTCTGAAACACCTTTTTTATCTTGAAGCTGGGCAGAAGATCCCACAAGTCCTGTTTAATTCCTCACTTTTGCAAGTGACCTTACACTACTTCTGGTTCTGCTGCTCCAGCGCTCCAAAACTCTATTTACATGGAAATTCTCTCTCTTTAAAATATGTTTGCTTGTTTTCATTTTTTAAAATGATACTCCATTCAAGCATTCATTATTGTTATTTATTTCTCAGGTCATGCTTCAGAAACTTTCTAGTCTAATAAAGAAATAATTTTACAAGCTTCATTTGCAACTCTTCAGCCATTTCACATGGCTTTCCATTTAGAGTTTTCACTTATTTGTTACCAAATGTTTCAGTTAGTTTCTCTTCCCAGCACAAAATTGCACCATTACTCATTATGAGCTCATTGAATTTACAGCTATAAGTGTAAATGGAAGAGGGCAGGGAGCATTCCCTGCCAGAAAACTGATTGTTCCATGCTGTTTCAGAATATGGTGGCTGTGATTTTTGATGGCCATACCTTTCCTTTATCAAGGTATTCTAGCTTGTTCATCTCATTGAACATCTCCCTGCTTCCTTCCCTTCTACCCTTCCTCCTTCCTCCCACCTGAAAAAAAAAAAAAAAAAAAAAAAAAAAAAAAGGTAAAAAAAAATCATGATTTCTAGAACTGATACAAGGAATAAGACAGAAATTATGTCTGGATAAGGACAGGAGCCTGCCATGAATGGGAAATGGATGTGGCTGCCAAGTCCAAAATATAATAATTCTAGTTGAAGAAGAAGCAAACCACAGGTCAAAACAGAGCCTATAGATGCCTTAAATTGGGATGGTTCTTGCGTCCAGGACTACAATTCACTTGGTAACTTTCTATCCTGGGTTGGATAAATCCCATTTTTATGCATATACCAATTTTTATGCTGCTTACATGCTCTAAAACAGGCAAATGATAGCATACATGCTGTACCCTGGGCTGGCTAACCACAAACCAGTTTAAACTCCGGACTTACTGGTTTCTTGTTCTTATATCCTGTTTCTCAAAGACCATGCTGATCTGAGCTGATAACACTCAACCTGGTATAGGCCTCCTGAATTTGAGTTAGCTTACATTCTGACTACCTGAAGGTCAAAGGAGCTCAATTATGAATGCAGTTGCCATCATATACCTTTAAGCAGTTAGCCTCTAAACACCCCCTGCCAGTAGCTGTTTGCAAAAGATCTATGTTAATGACAGGAATACATAAAACTGTCTGGAAAAAATAATTGGCTTGCATTAAAAACCTAAATATTCTTACACTTAGAAACAGCCACTCACAATCCGCAGAAATGCTGAATACAAAGCCATGGCTGAATTAATTCTACTTTGGAGAACACTGCCAGGAAATCTGGCTATGCCTGACTCATACAGGTATGTGTTGTATGTCTGAAGTTCTTCTGCTAGTAGACAGCTATTCCTTTTACTTGTTCTTTTAGATTAAGGACGGTTTGGGTCCTGTTTGTATAGTATTACTTTAGTTGCAACGTGGTGGTTCAATTACTGTGAAATAGTGATTCAGTAAAGAATTCACAGTTCAGGGGTTTGTGAAGAAAACAAAACACAGAAGAACAAAAAATAAGCCAAAAGAAATTGATTCTAAAAACTAAGGCAATTTATTTAAGGCAATGGAATTTCCTGCCAGCTTAAGTTCTTACTGTGGACTCAAGTCAATATTTGCTCATTATATGACATATGTTGTAAGATGTGGTTTCAGTGATCTAATATGTTTATATCCCATCAGTGTCTAGTTCATTGGAACAAGAACATTCAGAAATTATTGCTATTTAGAGACCAGTAGCTGATGGTTGATGATGGTACTTTAGTAAATTTTTTCTTTATAATATTGTGCTGGTGTTGGTTCTGTTGTTGTTCCTTGGTAGTACACAGAGAGAGTGGTGAAATGCTGGAAGGCTGCCCAGAGAGGCTGTGGCTGCCCCATCCCTGGAAGTGTTCATGGCCAGATTGGATGGGGCCCTGGGCAGCCTGGTCTAGTATTAAATGTGGAGGTTGGTGGCCCTGCCTGTGGCAGGGGGGTTGGAGATTCATGATCCTTGAGGTCCCTTCCAACCCTGGCCATTCTGTGATTCTGTGAGCATACTGCTCTTTTACATAAGAAATGTGTTAGAAATCAACTGTTCTGGAAAGATTATATAGTTGCCCTCCAGTGCATGTAAGAATGCATTTATAAATGGTAATCAATTCAGGCATAGTTATTTCTATAAAGGTTGCACTATTAGTAAACCAATTCTTTATCACTGAAACTTCATCCATGTTACTTTTGCATCTAGCTATTCTTGTTAATGCTGTGGTATGCAATGTGAGGATCATAAGATACTTCATATTGGAAATGACTTCAGGTAATCTCTGGCTCAACCTCTGGTGAAAATGAAGGCCAACTATACATCAGACCAGGTTGCTTAAGGTTTAGTCTAGTAGGGTCTTGAAAGTTTCCGAGTATGTAGAGTGCAGCAGACTGGGCAACATATTCTACTCCCTGCTGTCTTATCAGGTTTTAAGAATTTTTCTTAGTTGGGAAGAGAGACATTACTGTGCTACTGCAAATGCAGAATTCATTAGTGCCACCTATTTGTGAGACTGTAAAACTACAGATAATCCCTGTAAAACTGTATTGAGTTAATAAGAAAATATATTATTTTTCTTTCTGCTTAAGCACATAGGATAGGTTTAAAAGGGTTTTCTTCAGTTTTGTATCTAAATAATTGCAGTGGATATATATGTTGTTTAAAATAAGGCTTTAATATAATTTATATATTTTATACATATAAAAATGCAAGATGAAACAACTTCTAACATTTAAATAATATATATTTACATTATATATATAATGTAATATAATGTAATGTAATGTATGTATATATATTTGCACAGTTTTCTTTTAGAGCTCCAGATACATTGCTTCACCTGCAGGAGGTGTGCAATTTTGGAGGAGCTGTGTTGTCAAGTGAAAGGCAAAGGCAGAAAAAGATACTGAAATTATAAAAATGTATCAATGTAGAAGAAATAAAACTATCTAGATAGAGTTATATATTAAAGAAAGAATCAGTAAAAAATGTCTTTTTTTAGAAGTCTTTTTCTTCTCATATTCAGTAATTAACAAATATTTTATTAGACGAGGAATGATTAGACAAATTGTAATGCAAGAAAGAAAACATATAAGAAAAAAAATCCTTAGAATTTTATTAGTGCTATTATCTCACCCTACTATTAAAAAATTGGGCAGTGCTCATAATAGTTATACTTTCTCTTTTGCTCATTCATTTCAAACTGTCCAGAAAGGTTTACAGTTAATTATAATCATTTCAGTAACAAATAAGATAATATTCTTTAGATCTCTGTGGAGAGACAAAGCTTTGAATGACAGGAGGAAGGCTTAGCATTAATACACAATGATTAATGTCAACATATGGCTTTAAACTTCAGAGGGACATCTGTAGCCTGAGGAACAGGAGCTATAAGTTTGCTTGTTATGTAACTGTAGGCATGCAGATTTTCTAAATATGTTAGCCAGACTGTAAACAGACACAGATTTTCAGAAAACATGTAAACAAAGAACAGATTTTCAAAACATTGTTAATTATTAGCTGATTCCTTTGTTGCCACTGACTTTCTTATAAGAATGACAAATTTGAAAACACGTGTGAATATGTGTTATAAAAGTCATTCCTGTGGCTGATAATATATGTGCATTGGCACAGACAGTGAATAAATAAATATGTAAAAAAGGATTACGTTATGAAAAAAAACCCACAAAACTGTAATTTCAAGTATTTTTTTCATTCAGTCAAATGATTCCTGTAATATACAACTTGAACGCAACAATACAGATTTTAACTCCATATGCAATATTAGAATATTGTTTACAGTTTGCATGTTGTTTCCAAGCCAATGAAAATATGATGTACAGTGAAACTGAAACAGATAATTTATAGAAAGACTTTGAGAACTTTGAAATATGTTTCTGGCAGAAGTTAACTTTGCCATGATCACAGTATTAAAATACTATTAAAAATATATACAAAACAACAACAACAACAATATATACAGAACAACAACAAAGATTTGCAGATCAAATGTAGAAAAAGTAACATAATAAAAATAAAACATTTGAGATATAAAAATTAATTTTTCTTTTTCTTTCCAGCTTAAATAGTGCCCACTATAAACTTTTATATGCAGTTTTCTGTAGGGAAATTAGATTTTTCTTATATTCTTATATATATGTAGAATCTGAAACTCTCATAGATATGTTTTTATTCACTCATTCTGCTGTCCTTACAAATATATTGATTCAGTGGCTTACTAATTCAAATATGTCATATTCCTCATTGTGGTCATTCATTGTTTTTTTAGATCCATGACAAAGTGAACATATTTTATCTGAGGATTGAAATCCTGAATGAACACCTGGGTACTTTTTGTTCTTGTTGGTAGGTAGGTAAGTTGGTAGTTTTTTGTTGTTCCTGCTGTACGGTGATTTAGGTGTTCAGTTTTTTTCAGTCAATGAACTACTGATATGTGTAATCTTTGGAATACCCTTGTATTGAAGCACATTCAAATGACTGAGGGAAGAAAGCAAATAGAAAATGGTGGCAAATATGCAAAAGCAGGAGCAAAATAATGTTAAAAATCTTGTAATAATCAAAAACATATTGTTCATACTTTGTCAATTCAGCATGCACTGAGAAAGTGAATATTGATGGTCCCATAATGCTTTGTTGAAGTGAAATGTTGCAGGCAGTTCTGTATGCTAGCAACAATACAAAGGTACTCTACTGAAAATAGAAATCTAAATCGCAGCCATGTATCCCAGGCCTTACAGTAATGTAGCTGAAAGGTCAAAGAGGAAAAAATATATTTTATTATTCAGTTTCCCTTACCTGAACTTGATTTTCAATGACCTAATCAAAATGATGGTTGTTTTTTTTTCCTCAAGACCCTTGATTCATTCATTGCATACTGATGATGTGTTTAGGAACAGAAGTTCATTATTGTATTTCTTTTCATTGTAATTCATATGGCTTCATATTTCGTTATTAAATACCAATCAAGGCCTCTTCTGAAGATAACATGCCTACTTGTGATTTTGAAATATTTTTCCAGTTCTCAAGGTGGTTTACCACCTCAAAATCTCATCAGAAATCATGTGAAAAGGCTGTCTGCTATCTTTAAATGACCTTTAAATATCAGATAATTATTCATGACTTTTGGTGCTGATTGAGATGTTTAATTTACATGCCTTATGTAAGTGCATGTATAGGAGGTATACTTCAGTAAAAATGTTCCATGTTTTGTTACTGTGTTTTCTTGTCTTCAATTGATTGGCCCTAAGAAAGAAATATATGCTGTTGAAAGGGTGGATTTTTTTTTCCCCTCAAAATCTAGCGTTATTTTTTTCTTGAATACAAGGTAATCCAAGAAGGATGCAAGGTAAACCATGAAATGCAGAAAAGTGTTCTTCTTAAAACAGCACTTTAAGGAATACACTGATATCCCTGAAAGAATACTTTTAACACATCAAAATACAGACTGTAGCATTATTTTTAATGATTAAGCACATAGTTACTTGCAGCAGTAAAGGAATAATAACAATGGGATGACCTACACTAATTATATCAGTTAAGAATCTGACACCTGGCTTGGAATAAGAATTTATCTCTTCCAGCACAGAAGAAGGATTGTATAAATTTTTGAACACTCACATGATTGTCCTCCTAGTTTTTAAAAACTCTTTCACAACTACAGTGCACGTCCTCTAAAATTTCCAAAGATCATTAATCAGCTCATTATTTTTTTATGAGTATTAGTGGCACTAATGTGTAGAAAGCTTCAAAGGAAATCAAGAAGTAGGTGAATGCATTGAGTAAGTTTTTCTACCATCTGTTACCCAGTGAGATACCTCAGTCCATGCTGATCTATATTTGAATTGCCTCTAAATATTAGAATTTACAGTGGAGCAGTGATAAATCATAAGCAGCATACCTGTATTTGAATTAGCCCAGACCCATCACTCCAGGTTGAAGTAATGGCTGGAGATGCTGTATCTTCCAATCAGGTCTCGAACATTTCTAGAAAGGAAATTTTTGTGAAGAACAAAGTGATATATAACCATAATGTTCCAATGAGTTTGAAGCAATTAGATTCACATGTAAAATAGTCGATTTTTATCTGTGAATCTTCAGATCCACTAGCATCATCTCTAAGTATACTTATTTTTTGATTTACATCTGAACAATTACACAGAGCTGTAATCTAAGAGCCTCCCACTTCCCTTTACAGACCTTTTTGAATCTAGCAGGAGTTTAATTAACATTTATCTATTTCTGAGAATCTTCTCAGGTTCGGAGTGGAATGCAGTTGGCCTTCATAGTTTCTTTCTAAGTTGATTAAGTAGCTGTTAGAGTTCATATCTGCCCTAGAATCCTCGGAGAATAAAGATGGCATATAGCTGCCGGTAGTTCTTTTTTTGTCAAATTAATTGACACAGTGTATGTCTTGTATTTAAAATTCAAAAGTTCTTTGTAACTCAACCCTGGAGACCGAAGCATAGCACGGGCCAAAAGCAATAGAATAAAGTCAGTTAAACATATTATTTTAAAATTCAGAAGTACTATAATTATATTGCTGACATAAAGGCAAATTTACAAAAAGACATTTGTATTTTTATACCTTGCACTAAATCTATTACCAAGCAATTCAAGGTTTGTTGAACCAAATTAAGTTCACACCTCCTTTGCAAGCATGAAGCTCCTCCATAACCAGATCCAAAATTCTTCCTAGATCTGATGTGCTTTGCAGCAGCCAGAAATCTTCTGCAAAGAAAATCTGTCTTGTATCACTTGTTTTTGTAGCTGTATGTTTTACTTAACGTATAATCATGATTTCAAATTGAATACTAACAGTACACAAGGGTATAGAAGAATGATACCACTATGTGTGTGGACTATGTGATGTATCTTTTTCATGAATGTACCACTACATCCTTGGACTTCAAGCAAGTTTGTGGGAAAGTGATAGCAGTATACAGTTATTCTGTAAGCAGATTTTTCTGATTCATTTCAGCTTAGTATCTTCTGACAAGTGTTTATTCAATAAATAGTTGGTCACTTCAGAAGTTGTGCAGGCAACATAAGACAAAAATTGACCTATCAGTTTCTTACCTGTTAGACATTCACAAATAAATCACTGACTCATACAGACTTCAAAGAAAGCAGCTGTCTAATCTCTGGTTAAATTTATCGTTAATCTTGCAGAAAAAAAATCTTTGCAATGGCACACACTACAGCAGAAACTTCAAAGAAATGCTGATTGCCCAAAACTGCAAAAGAGGTTTTTCTTTCCTATGCGTTCAAAAACAGCTTTAGAAATATAAGTCAAGGATTGTTTGCTGTAGATACAGTCAGGATTTTAGTATCTAAACACACTGTGCATTCAGCAGTGACAACAGTGCATAAGTAAAAAAACTAGAGCTCAAGTGTGGGAGAGGATCATTTTTTCTCCTTGGGGATCAGATGAAGAGTAGAAACTGAAGTGATAATTTCAACATTAAAATAATCAGAGATGTTGGAAGTAGCAGAAGTATTTTGTCTTGTTCGGCCAAGGAGCTTTAAGGTCATTCTGATTAGCTAAACAATAAATTGAAGATTGGAATTCTTTTTCCTATTTTTTTTTCCATTGCTGCTTGCAAAAAATTTCAAATGGGATCTTTTGCATCAACCATGAACACATATAGACTGTAATCTAGATGACTGGATCACAGAGCAATGGAAGAAACTGAAATATCTAAAGGAAGAGTGAAGTAGTCAGATGTTAAGTTTCTATATTTGAATTGCTGCCTGATCAAAACTTTGGAGTATGTAGCAGCAGAAAGAAAGCACATCCAAATTATTAAAAGGTAAGATTTTATTCAGCTAGATGTTTGCTCAAATGAGATTTGCCAGGTCACTCTTTTCACTACAGTGAGATTAGTCATAAGCTCTTTTTTTTTCTGCACATGGGAAAATGTAGAATATTATTAGAAAAAGTACAGTAAGGAATATATCCATAATATGTGTGGGAAAATAAGGTATTCAGTTTAGGTAAACTAAAGATGCCAGACTGCATCTATTCGAATCCTGAATTCCACCATTTCCTGAATCCTTCTCACAAACTGAAATCAGAAACTTCGTAACAGGTCTGATTGTTAAACTTTTTCCAAGTGTAGTACAAAAATATATCAAAATTCTCATCCATTCCTTTTCTAAAGGAGTAAAGGAATTAAGTCCAATCGTAGATTTTGAATTGCTTTTCCTTTGAGACCACATTTGATCTTTTTTCTTTTCTTCTCCTAAAGACATAATTTTTAAGTCTATTTAGTATAATTATATATCTTTGTTACTCACATCACAAAATTAAATGTAAATGCATTTGTCAAAAATATTCATAAACAGTTTAGTTGCAAAATACTTTTTAAAATTAGCTATCACAAGGAGATTTAGCATTCAATAGCATTTATATTTTATAACATAAATGAAAGAGGATGACAAAACTTCAAAGCAGCAAAGATGACACATTTCCAATCGTGCTGTCACTGTGAGATCTACAAAGAGCATACTAGTACACAAATAACTGCTTTTTGATTTACTGAAGTTCAAGTATGGATTTATCTAATTTTTTAGGTACTTCAAATCCACCGAATTGCCATGACAAGTATACGTGATATTGTGGTAAAATTTTTCCCTTAACACAAGATATGACAGGTCAAAATTATTTGTAAAACTGTGATCTATCTTGCCACTAGAGCATGCTGTGGATTGGTTGAAGCCCTACTTCTCTTGATTTCACCAAAATTTTAAAACAAGATTAATTTCAGATAAAAACTTCTAGGTATGTTTTCTAATGCCAGCAAAGGCTGTGATTAATGTGATTTTTGTCTATGATGAGAAAGAGTTGTCAGTTCAAGTTTCCTTAATATAATGGTGTTAAATAATTTAATTGACCCCATAGTTGCTTTGTATTTTCCACTGCTGATAAAGAAGTCTTTTCATGTATAAAATATGGAGAAGAGAGGAGACTGTGCTCACGTCCAACAAGGCCTGGTTGTGAAGTTCCCATCTCTAGAGATATTCAAAACCTACTTGGACGCTTTTCTGTGTGACTTGCTGTAGGGAAGCTGCTTTAGTAGGGGTTTGGACTAGATGATCTTCAGAGGTTCCTTGTAACCCCTACACTTCTGTGATTCACTTTCCTGTTGTAATCTGTCTTTTGTTGTGTTGAACTTCAGCTCAATTACTCCTTGCACATAAACTGATCTCAGTACAACATTTTACTGCCTCCGTGGTCCACAAATAGTCACAACTGCAGAGACGATCATTCTGAGTTCTGCATTTTTAACTAAGTATTAAGAACACAATGCAAGGATTGTAATATAACATAGTGAGAATATTCACAGTAGGACTGGGACAGGATCCTACTTTATTCTAAAATAATTTCATTTAAAATTATATGTACTTTCTCTTGTGACTTTATTTTTCTATGCATTTCCTCATAAGATGTACACATATAAATTGTGGTATGAGGTTACTCCATTCATAAAAGGAATTCCAGTTAGCAGGCTTAAATGGCATACTGTTCTGTAACAGAAATTCCATATCAGTTCATACGAGCAGAATTAGGAAGGTGATTGTGATCCAATGTTCAGTGTTGTATTAACTTCTATTTGTGTCAGTCGACTTGTGGTTAATAGACTAGACTCCAGAAGAGAGAAACAACAGAGATCAGAGGCCTGAAGAACATAAACAATAGGAAGATGGACAGCTTAGAATATTTTTGGTTTGATACAAAAGCCACACAAAGTAATAGATACGAAGAAAAAGATAAGTCTTCTAGAAGTATTTCAAAGAACATTATGTTCTCAACAGGATTAAAAGGAATGGATTTAAACTATTATAATGAAGAACAATTCATATGTGAGGGGAAACATTTTTACTGATAAGAATAGTAGATTGTCAGATTATGGGAACCTCAGAAGATGTGCATCTTAATGAAAAGCCTAATCAAATGTCTGTTAAGAATGAAATTTATATAGAATATCCCGCTTAGGCTTAAAGATAGACCAGGTGATAGACTATAGGTCTTTTCCCAACCTATTATTTGGTTATTCATTGTATTTTAAGTATTAGAACTTTATATGGGTGTACTATATTCAAATACATAACATTATAATCTACTAAACATATTCTAATTTATTTTCAGGTTGAATAAACTGTTCTCTGTGAAAAAGCTTTTGTCAGTATAGACAGTTCAAGCTGTCATTTAAATACATATATTTATGATATAAAGGTACAATTGTACGTGCATTACTAATGTTAAAAAGAGAATGCAGAGGTGCAAAGAAAACTGACTTGCTCACAGCGTGTGGCTGTGCTCAGTGTAAAAGTAGCAGAAATATTGCTTACTCTGAGAGCTTTTCCACTGTAATACTTATATGCGTCTTAGTTTGCAGCTAAGAAACTACTTAGAGAAATCTGTTTTCAAATTTAAGCTATATGAGTTGACATAATTCTGAGAATGGTTATGCAGTTTTAAGGAAAATTCAGAACAAAGGTCTGCTTTGAAAGAGACTTCAAACTACAGGAGTTTGAATGAAAAAGTACTTAAATTTTTTAAAAATTCAGAAATAATTACCAAAAGATGGTCATTCTTTTATTAATTTCAAATACAGAAGAAAAGTAGGAACTCTGGCAAAGCCATGAGGAAATCATTAACGGACATATAAGTATATGAAGGTCAATGAAATTATATGTAAGTATTTCTAATGGATAACACTCATCACTTGGCAGCTAAATAGTTTCCGAAGCAGAAATCTGATGAAGCAGTTATCTTTTCTTATACCATTATTTACAACGTGGAATAATTGTGTAGAATCAATTCATGAACTGTTGTCAGGTTATTTTTTTCCATCATTGTTTCTTTCTATTTTTCCTTCCGTAATTTTCAGTAAACTCATGACTCATTTTATCTGATCTGACTAGAATTCCTGATGCTAATCTCTTCAGAAAGGCAAGATATTGTCCTGAAAAGAATACAA